GGAACAGAATCGACAACAGACCGTGGCGGCAGTTCGAATCCAGGCCGCGTATCGAGGCTATCAGGCTCGATCCCGACTGGCCGATCAACGTGCACTGGCAACCAGACACAGAGCTGCTCGTGTGATTCAGAACTGGTATCGGGGTCATGTGTCACGAAGAGAATGCCTACGGAATGTCACACATGTGGCTGCCACCCCTGTGGACATGGGATCGAAACAAGACGATGCGAAGGAATTGCATCAGACGACAATCGAGGTAAATAACTGAATATTATTTTTTTTCACGAATCATTATGTCAGAATTACGTCAGTAACAGTTAAACTGAACTCATTTAATAACAGAATTGAACGGGAGTTTTTGAAGAGTCGAGTGGAGGTAGAAAATGTTCTATTCCAAATTTGTTCTTGTCCATCTCCACTTTTCACTAGAGACATCGAGGCTGGTGTGAAACGCATCCGAGCGTGCCGATGAGTCGTGAAAAGCTCGAAGAACTGCATAAAACGACTCAACTGCGTCTGCGTGCGTTCCAATTCAACCGACTGAAGGCACAACAACAGGTAAGGAAAATTTTCCGTTTTTTCTCCCCCCCTGTGTGTCTGTCTTATGAGTACAAGCATGTATCGTGACTCCGCCAGGCTACATTCATTCTACTGGACTGGGGTAGTTTTAGGTCGTTTAGATATTGGTCGACCTTGATTTCAGTTTCAGTTGGTACAACCATTACCCATGCACTTTCGTGCGCCGGTTTTGGTTGCTGCCTATTTGTTGTTATCATGAGATAAACCGACATGATATTTGGTTTCTGGAACCTCTCAGGGAGTTTGTAAATCAATCGGAAATTCACTCGATGAGCAAAGCAGGTAAACATGTAACGTAACAAGTGGAAGGCTTATAATTTCCTGCAAGAACGTTCCCAAGTAAAGCACAAATAAATCAGTGTTAAACCACGAGATTTTTCTATGTCCCCGTGTTCTCCGAGATACGATTAAAACAAATTCAAACACTAGTTAATCGATTTTTTCACTTGCTTTTTCACAATCCCAATACAGAGTGAAACTCGACGGGCCAATCTGGCTCGAATCGCTCTGGACGCGGACCTACTCTTTGGGGAACCAAGTGGGTCGGATCCGGGCACCCCGGACGAAATGACACGACTTGCCCGGGCAGTGGAGCGCAGATGTTCATCGGCAGGCGGACTGGATGTGGACCCATTCCGATGTCGTATACAACCGATAGCAAAACTGGCTCAGGAGGAGCATCGTCAATCTGTGGCCCGGTTAGGCAAACCATGGTGGACTGTGCTAATGCGTGAGTGGAATAAAAAATCCACTCAGTGGTTATTGGCGAACGAGGCCCGGGCTGATCGGGAGGATCCGACAGCGTCGGATGCGAGCTGCAACTGGCATCCGGATGATCTGTTCGATACCAGTCAGGACACGTGTGTGGTCAGCGAGTACGAGCGTGCATTTTGTGCGTTTGGTGAGGACAACGAGCAGACAGACAATCAGTCGCCCAGGGTATGTATTGCCTGACACGCGCAAATAAATAATATTCAAGAGAGAAAAACTTTTTTATATTGAAAATAGCGGATAACGACGGGACAGAAAAAAACCGTGAACACGGACAACCGGCTGTGAGGATTCAGGCGATTGTAACGAGCGACGCAATAAAGCAGATCAACAGAGGGATCGGAAAGATTTGGGGAAACGAGCTCAAAGGTCACTGTTATACACAGTGAAGTAGTGTAATAAGCTTTAGAAAATAGGAATATGCATAGAGCATACAAAATGAAAGAAGAAAAAACCACACTGAATTTCGCATCAAAAAGATTGATAGATCGAAAGCACCTGGACACGGTGAGATGAAGGCCGGGAACAGTAACCGCAAGTGGAGCTTATGGTCTCAGGGATTGCGGCGATTTACTGAGGTCCGAAATATGAACAACAAAAAAATAGCTGAATCTATGGTGTGCAAATTTGTGTAAAAGTCTAAAAAATGAACCACGGGGAACCGCGTCCGAAGACCGACCGTCAGCCACTATCACACACTGTCATTATCATTGTTATCATCTGTGTTCGAGATTTACTGAAGGAAAACATCAAACATTCCCTCCAGAACTGCGTAAAACAGTGGGGATAAAGAATTGAAAAAGTTTGCCGTCGTTTGCCACATCGTGTTCGGGGCAGACTCGGACGTAACCTGTGTGGTTTTCGTCGTCTGACTTGACTGTTTCATGCCCGTCGTATCCGAGCCGGACAACGCGGCCTGATCGTAGCTGGGCTCGGCGGACGACGAAGGAACGGTGGCGAATAACGCGGTGAGTTGCTCGTAGGTCAGCTGAGTATCATCCGATTTGTGTTTCAATTCGTTGTATTCAGCATACGGGGATTTGTGTGGAAAAACCTGATCGTGTAAGCAAATCCGGGGAGGTAATTAGGTAAGTAGATAGACCGTGAATCTGCTACAGCGTGTTCAGAATAGAATAAAAACGGGGTAAAAATTACGTGGTTTGCGTTCGCCTGTGAATGAACAATAATGAGTCCAGGCATCACTTGGTAGCCATTCTCATACGAAAAGGTCACCAAATTAAATTGGAATGGCTATCTGGATTACAGTAAAAATATTTTCTGTGTTTCTTCGGAAGTATGGATCAGGCATACAGCACACACCTAAAAAAACTAGACTGTATTTCACCTTGCCACATGCAATTTACTCGTTCAAAAAAGGTGAGGTTGTGCTTTAACACTTGGCA